TGCATGAGCGACGCGATTCATCTCACAAAGCCCGCTTCAGCCACTTGCGTCAGGGATCGAAGTTTTAGAGTTATGGCTGATGACTCATAACCGAAGGTGAGCATCGGGAAGTAGATCCATTAGAGCACAGAGAACTCAAATGCAGCTCTGCTTAAGTCACAACGGTTTAGGTTAGTTCAAGCCGAACGCCGTTAGCCATTCCAATTCTCAGGTCGACCTCTTCCATCGATTTTCCTCAATAAACAGTAAACACGACTCCAATGTACTTGAACCAGTAGGATGGCATTACCGTTCATCTGCTGTATGCAACAGGTAAGAAAACCAAAAAGCACTAGGTTTCCGTTTTAGACACGTTGACACTCATACTAGCCAAAAAATTGCTGGCAGTCGGTGATTTGTTAATAATAGGGGCATCATGGAATTCTGATCTGGTCATACCGAATGGACTAGGTGTACGGCCGCGCTGTTTGACGTGATTGCATTTCACCTTGAACTGCCTGATAGCTTACTGTGTAATGCAATAATCAGTACAACATGTATCTCTGATTTCTTGTGTTCTACGTCATTTCTATTTTTGCAACCTCCGAGTTAGTTGGATCCTTTCAACTGGATTTGGAAAAGAACGGGCAAACTGAAAGTCATGCAAAGTCACAATTTACGCGTCCTTCGCTTACGGCTCCATAACAGAGATCCGGATGGTACAGTGAAGCCCATGAAAGGAATGCTGCACTTAACGGCACCCAGCATGTAGCATGAACCGTTTCTATCCATCGCCTTTTCCTTCCATTTATGATTTGCTAGCAAGTCGTATGCTCAACGCATCAGTACCTACCCTTCTTGTTTACGTCCGTGTTGTATCTTCACAGTGCCAGGTCTGCATATAAGTTTATTGTGGTGCCCGAACCGGGCAAAGCAAATTCTCACAAGGCGAGACGATACAACATTACACACAACAAGTGACAAAACGATGGGTTTATATACTCGGCGATCGGCGCGTAGTAAATGGCGCTCTCACGTATGCTAATGCCTAGAGTGCATGATTTGACCTGATTACGTGGCAATGTGTAGTCGATTAGATCACAATATGCAAATGAAGTAGTCGGTCGCACCAATGCACGACTGATTCATGGCGATGGCTTAGGATCGTTCCTAATAGTCGGCTCTAAGTGGCCTGTCATTTGCTTTGGAGAACTTGAACAAAGTCTATGCTCCAAAATGAACTTAAGCTTAATGTTAACTACATCTACCACGAAAATTTTATAACCTCATAGCCTTTGCTTTCTAACCAACCTATTTATCACGAAAATTGAGTAGCGATGAGCTCTGAACTTTGCAAAATTTGAACAAGAAACAGAGTTTTAAGTTTCCTGCTACTATGTATTCGTCTTTGACGACCGTAGGTAAAATCATATCAATGAAAATGTTTTTAGCACGGCATTAAAGCAGAAAAGTCGAAGGCTGTCGAACTCTTTATTTCAAGGATGGATAAAATACGTCAAATCGTATTTGACGTATACAAAAGCACAATAGTACTAAAAACAAAATGGATATACCTTAGGTGTTACACGCTGTGTCATTGAATAGGTCATTGAATAATTTAAAATCCTTGGATACGAACTGAAGCCGCAATTAACTGTTCTATTTTAGGGCTCAGTGGGAAAGCTTCAGGGCATTATGTAGTGCAAAGAAGCCCTAGTTGCAGCGTATGTAACGTAGCGAAAGCAATTTGCGGGCTATTTTCATAAATAAGCATTAAATAAGTACTTAATATTGCCTTTAGTCAGTGTGCGAAGACATTTTCTGCTACGCTAAATTAATTGAAACTTCATCTTCATCTTCGTGACCGTTTCTCCTTTCGGGTCGCCGAGGCAGACGTCTCAGACAGTGCTTCCATCGTTCCTTCCCGATGCTGTGCCAGAGTCTGAGCTTCGGCAGAAGACATTTGGAGTCTGGAACAGACTCCATCCATATATTTGCACCAGGTTAATTTTGGCCGTCCCCTGGGCCTTCTGCGGATCAGATTTGCAAGGAACAGTTGCTTAGCCTTCCTTTCTGGAGGGATTCGCAGCACATGCCAAAACTATCGCAGCTGATACAAACACCAGCCTGAGGGCAGATCCTAGAGTCGATGCCTGAACAGAATAGATTCCACTTACAGATGTTCGGAAATACAGAGCTCTGGAGCTTCGTTCTCGGGATTCCAGCTACATTTAGCCTGATCCCTGCGGTCTCATCAACTAATTTCTGATCTTTCCTTCTGGTTGATCATATGTTCTAGTTTCCGACTGCCTACTACCATTGTGGTATCGTTTCCCTGGAACATGACCTGACGTACTATAGAATTTTACCAGGCAAATAGGGGATAAAAACCGAATCGTCGTTCTGGATGTACTAGTAAAGAAAGGCGAAAAGAACATTTGATTCTGTACTTCATTGAATCTTCAGCATTCTCACAGTTACTAAGCGGGAAGTCATGCTCCACTAAATTAATTTCTTTTAAATCTTGTAAGTGACGAATTATGCCTCATAGTTTTTGACTACTGATTACATATATCAAGTAAAGGCTGAACGTCTAGTTGATTTCTTAAGTGGAAACGGCTACAAACGGCTAATGAAGAAGTTACAAAACGGGATTTCCTGAAAGTTAGTTATAATGTTGAAGAAATGTCATAAGTAGAATAATCACTTCAAAATTATTTTTCTTCTTATTATTATTGTTATTATTGGTGCTATTCTTATTACAACTATTAATTTAACCTCTTCATTGTTAATAAACGTATTAGACTTTATCAACCGCAGATAAACATGTTCAGTAGGATCGAGAGCCACGACTGCTAGGAGATTCACACTGGGAAAACAATATAGAGATTGGGCAAAAGTTAGGAACATCAGGCATCTCTGAGAGATGGGAAAACGAATCATTCTGGCATTGTCTCTCAAGCTTCTTACTTGATACGCTCATTTAGACAGACTAATGCAACTACTTCTGACAAGGATAGTACAACCATTGTACCATTAAATAATGAATCATTGGCTAATCAAAGCCGACTTTGTGGCGAATGTGAAAACTGTGTTCTTCTGATTGACAGCTGGGATTCCATTGGTCGAATCGTTGGAAAGAATTAATGGCACAAACTTCACTGTCATTCAAGTACATCTTGCAAAACTGTTTTTTATCATATCATGCCCTTTGATCTGTGTATCATAACTCTGATGATAACACTGGTGTGCTGCGTCGAAAAGCCTTGCTGAGAATGGATCTGTTTTAAATTGTTGCCTCAAACAATTGATGGAGAACGGAAGATCAATGACTGAGGAGGTGGTGGTGCAATTTTTTCGTAGGTGATTTCGAAACTCTCTTGTGGATGCAAATTCAAAACGATGCGGAATGTTCCTCTTATTAACTGCAAACTTCGTTGAGCAAGGCTTCATCTCACTGCGCTTCGATGCAATCAGCCGAAGAACAGGTAAAAGATTACTGACCTGGGAATAAAATGATGTGGCCATGTCAAAGCTTGTGAAACGTTAATCTAATAGCTGAATAAAAATTAGCTTTACGTGTATATGTAATTTACGAAATTAGATGCTATTTACTTATTAATGAGGAAAAAATGAATGATACCTCCTTCCATACCTCTCTGTACTGTTTAATTTTGTCTGTATAGATCTCTTAATCGATTGATGCTTGGCTAATGGGGATGTAAATTCATAATTTCACAAATATCATAAGTAGCCTTTTTCAGAATTTTTTAATTCCTTCTGGACTCGCAACTTAATCAAATAATAGTTAATAATCATCGCTGCAATGAAACAAATATGACAGTTATCTTCAGGTTACTAGTAGTCTTGAATCTCATTCATAGCTGGCTATATTTTACTACTGTTTTACTCCATCAAAATATCCTATGTTGTACTTCAGCGGGAATTCGAGAAATAAAGGCATTACCTCCGAGTTTCATCGAAGTGCTACTAGGCGTCATAGACGTGGATGCTGGCGAACCGTTTGCCATCGAATGCAGCTTTGAGGGCAAGCCAACTCCGTCCATTGAATGGACGAAGGACGGTCAGCCGTTGTTGCCCAGTTCAAGAATAAACCTGTGCTACGACGGCGAGAGTGCGTCCCTGAGAATTGCTTCGTCTCAGGTGTCTGATTCAGGGCGCTACTGTTGCAACATTTTAAATTTGGCTGGTGTCGCAGAAGGTGGTTCGAACCTGAACGTGTTCAAAAGAAAAAACTCAGGTAAATGCTTCAGTATTTGCCTCAGTTTGAAAAACACCTGATCGACCAGACGGTCAGCGACGGGGACCGAGTGGTGCTAATGGTGACTTCTATGAACGGAGGGTAGCCGGCGAATGTCGCTTGATTGTGTGACGACTGCCAAATCTACGGTGTTCAGCTCTTATTAAATCGATCATCGACTTCTGTGCGCAAGATTCTCTTTTCCAAGCCTATTGCTGCACACTTCGATGCTCAACGAGAGTGCCTACAAGAGATAGTCCGATATTTGTATACAACAGTCTCTTGTGTGGGCTGTTGGCAATGTGTCTATGAGGTCTGGTTCGAACTAGGGAAATACCGGGTTCGATTCCCCCGAGGGCAATCTTTGTCTCATTCACGAATTCCCTTGAGCGAGGAATTTGCCGCACACCACTTCAGACAGAAAACCGCTAGGTCCCATGTTCAAGCCCCGGTCGGAGTGAGTCGCCTTTCTTTATTTTGAGCTTGATAAATGAGTACCACTGCGAAGTAAACGGCAGATTTCAGGCTGCGCTGCTACATATATGCTCTGCCTTATATCCTCATACTCATACTGTCATGTGCACTCTGATACATGCTTAAAAATGGCACTCCTGAAGGAACACATGCAGAGATCAGCACTGCACCTCAACGTCATGAAACAAAGGCCGCTGAAATGGAGCAGACATGAAAGTGATGGAAGAGCGGCATTCGAATTGTGACAAATTCTCTTTTCCCCTCTTTTGTGCAAAATTGCAACAATTTCATGCCATTATTTTTGAGATAGGGTTCTTTCAGTCAGCCTTCCCACTTTCCAGTATCTGCTTTAACGTGCAGCTTAAAATCGAACAATGGAATGAGGATTCATGCAAAACTTGCTGGTTCCTCTGGGAAGAAATAATATTCTACCTTTGAATTAGGAGTATAGGTT